GGGGGGGGGGGGGGGGGGGGGGGGAGGAGGAAATGCCTCCGTGTTCATCCTTCCCTCTGTCTTAATTACACCAGCAGTACGCAGCCGAGCATCAGCTCATGGATGTACGGATGGATATCGTCATCAATCAATCATTCATTCTTTGATTACACATACATACACACAGGCAGGCAGGCAGGCAACGATAGCATGCGAGGAGAGGCGGGGAGGGCAAGAAGGGAGCCGCTCAGCCGTCCTTCAATCGTCGGCATGTTCATCTCATTCCGGGTATGTATGCAGGTCCGGCGTATGTATGCAAGGAGGCTGCCGGCCGGCCGGTCGCTCCCCTCTGCAAAAGGCAGGGGCGCAGCGGCACAGCAGCAGCAGCAGCCGCCGCAGCCGCAGCAGCAGCGTAGACCTGCCACACAAATCGTAGTAGTAGTTAAAAACGACCCTTCTTCCTTATATCTCCGCCCTTTTCTGTCGTGCCTCCTCAGCTCCGCTCCATTCCACCCTCCCTCCCTGCCACAATAACCAAGGCAAGGAAGTAGAAGGAAATACGCACCATCCATCCATTCATCCATCCATCCATCCATGGACATGATCATCATGGCATACACATCCATCCACACACATGCATCCAGCCGACACACACACATCAACCAGTACCAAGCATTCTCTTTGCATCGATCGGTCGCATCCCATTGCCCATTGCCTTGCCGTGTACACACAAACACAAACACACACATACACACACACACACACACACCGCGGCAGGCAAAGCGGGAAAGCAAAGATCGAACGCTCGGAACGCACCAGCCAGCCAACCAACCAACGCACTATGGACCTACCTAGACTTAGACCTGGCTAGTCTACATACAGACATTCACAGCACTCACTCAGCCCGACCGAGAGAGAGAGAGAAAGGGACAGACAGACAGGAGAGAGACAGGAGGAGAGCATCAACTAAGAGCTACCCATCCATCCATCCACCTACATAACACACATACGATACATAAACCCGGCCCAACCTGTCTCACTCAGCCCGCCAGCCGTCCCCCCTCTCTCTCTCCCTCCCTCCCTCCCTCCCCTCTCAGCAAGCCAGCGGGTATCTCTCATCTCAGCTCTCTCCTTCCCTCGGTTCCTTCAAAGAGGACCCTCTTGATGCCAGGCACACAGGCACAGAGATACATACAAAGACACGGACCATAGAGGCGGCGATCCGGAAAGAGAGGGGAGAGTAAGGCAGAGACAGAGAGAGGGAGAGCAAGCGATATAGCGATACATATGACAGCAGCAGCAGCAGAGGGAGAGATATATAAGCGCGGGAATCAGGCAAGCGAGACAGCAAGACAGGAGCCAGGAATGAATCAAGGAGGCAAAGCAGAAGATCAGCCAGCGCCAGGCTCTCGCCTACGCCAGTGCGGTAGGCGTGCAGTGCAAAGTCCGTCTGTGAGTCTGTCCGTCTGTCCCTTGCTTGCCCTTTTGAAATGAGCACTAGTCAGCACCACCCAACGAATAAAGCAATCTATGTGATGTGCGATACACAAGTAGGTACCCCACACCCCACCCAACAGCCTCGCCATGCCCCGCCCCGCGGCTTCGCATGCATGGACGCACACCACACCACACCACACCCCACACCGACTACACCAAGCCAGCCCAACCGCCCGCTGCCTAGTGACGGTTCGCAATAGGCGCGTGTCGTGCGGTGCTGTGCTGTGGTGTAGTTGGTGTGGTATGGTATGCTGTGCCGCTGCCGCACGCACCCGCAGCCCGCCGGGATGGCGCGCATGTCATGTGCGGTCGGTGCGGACTAAATCATTATATTCAGTAAATAGGACGAATATGGAGATTTGACCGTACCATACCAATTCACCCATCCTACCTACGTAGACGCGTACATGTGCCTGCCTGTCTCCCTGAAGCCAGCAAGCTAGTGTTGATTGAAATGGTCGGTGGGGTGGGAGAGAGTTCGTGAGTGACCTAGAGAGAACACGACACCCGAGCCCCACACCCACCCCAAGCGTACCGTACCTGTCTGTACGTACGATCGCAAATGGCCTGTCTTGTCTGTTCTGTCCAACCCCACAGGCAGGCAGCCAGATGGCCTCGGCCGCCCCGCCCCGCCCATCCCCCCATCGAGAGAGAGACGGCCCAGATATACATACACCAGATGGACAGACAGACAGACAGGCGGACGGATCAAGGAATCAAGGAATGAGCAAGCGGAGATATGAAGAAGGGAGTCATCAAGGGTGGGAGCGACCCGCCACTATATTCACCACCCAGACAGCCCGACAGCAAGCATTGCCTACAAATCAACCTAGCCACCCCACCCTCAACCGCTGCCTCCCTCCCTCCCTCCCTCTCTCGGTCGGTCGGTCCGCACATCCGTCAGCCACGTCGACGAGCCGTAGACAGAGATACAAATAGGACCATGGATGGACGGATGGATAGATTGAGGCACGCATCACTCACACATCAATGAATGCATCACGTGTAAGAAAAAGCCAACACTGTGCGGTACCTATGGTATCTCTGCAGCCCATCCATTTAGCGTTTAGACATCCATCATCTATCTGGTGTATTAGTTAGTGTGCGTGTGAACGAACAAGATACCATGCCCTACACGCACCCATGATCTGAATGGAGAGGCGGGAGGCGATGCAGCGTGGCCTCGGTGGCCGGCATAGAAGGTCTAATTGAGAGGAGAGGGAGGTGGGTCAAGTATCAATCAAGACAGAAGACGGGCAGACAGACAGACAGACAGACAGACGGAAGGGGAGGGGCAAGAAGGGTGTCAGCGGGCCGGCCAGCCAGCCGCTCAGTCAGTCGGTCATTCCGACGGTCAGTCAGACGACCCGACGTGCAAAGTTCTGAACCCAGCTGATGAATTGGTGTAGCCAGAGGTGAGAAGGAACGTAGGAAGGTATAGGTATCAAGGGTGCACATCACATCAAAAGACATCAACCCCATCACAGCACAGCACAGCACATCACACCACACCACACCATATGTGAGACACAAAACGGCAGCAGAAGACGGGCAGACAGGCGGGCGGACACTCAGGAGCGCTAGCTAGAAGCATGGAGTATAGACCAGATTAGATTAGATGATTAGGTTAGATTAGATAAGATAGACACGGAGTGAAAGTCTGGATGATCCTCTTGCCCAGCCCATACACGGTGAGTCAGTCGGGCAGTGGCAGGCAGGCAGGCAGGCAGGCGGGAGGGCAGCCGGGCGGGCGGACAGACAGACAGAGAAGACAAAAAACCACCAACAACACAGCCTAGCAGGCAGGCAGACGGAGAAAGACAGACACCACACAGAGTTACCACAAAACAGCCACTCACGCAGCCAGCACACTCATCACACACATCCTTGACGACAACACCGAGAAAAAACCAGCAAACACCACCACGACATCTATAGAGAGAGCGCGCAAACAAGAGCGGATGAACGGATGAAGAGAGATAGATGAACAGACAGAGAGAGAGCGCGATAGATACACTACATAAGACTACCTACATGTAAGCCAGGAAGTATGGATGGATGTGCACTGCACGTGTGGTGTGAGTGTACCCATTGGGTCATCACAGACAGAGAGACAGACAGACAGACAGACAGACAGGGTGGGTCAGTCAGTCAGTCAGTTAGAGTGTTGCTTGATGGTCGGTCGGTGTCCGTGTTGAAAGCAGAGGCAAGTGGTGGGGTGGGGTGGGGTGGACTAGCTAGCCGTGCTTTACAAGATACCAGCCATCCATCCAAGGCAGCCGAACCAAGCAGAGTGAGTGAGTGGATGGGAGAGAGAGGTGGGCGTATGTATGTGTCACATCACGTTTGTGGTCATTGTTGTCATTGTCTTGCGTCAGTCAGTCGAGGAAAATGCATATACAGTATGTCGTGGTGGGGTGGATGGAGCGAGTGACCAGTGAGTCTCTCTTATATCTCTCTCCGATCCGAGTCAAGAGCAGAGCAACTGAGTGAGCGAGTGAGCAACCCCCGGGCATCCAATCAGCCAGCCCATCAGCGAGTTGTGTTACCGTCCATCCAGCCATCCAGCCATCCATTCAGTCATCAACCTAGCCGACAAACACAACACAGCGCAACACCGCACCGCCCAGCCAGCCCGCCAGCCAGCCAGCCTGCTTGCCCTACCTCCCTCCACCGAGCCCACACGCCACCCACACGGAGGGAGAGACACCCACATGCATAGATAAAGCCATCATTACACGAGCTTCCATCCATCCATATATCCATATACACCCTCACGCTCTCTTTCTTTCTCGCTCGATCGCTCTCCGTTGAAATTAAATGGCAGGCAGACAGACATTACATACATGAGACGCATCCGTCTGTCTGTCTGTCTGTGTACGTAGACCTTTCTGGGTGCCGGGAGACCTCGCTCAGTCAGCTCCAGCACTTGACCGAGGTAGGTAGCCACAGAGAAAGCATGCATGCCTTGCCGTCCCAGCCAGCAATCATGTATGTGCACACGTGACGTACGCGTGTGTGTCTGTGTCTGTATGTGAGTGTGTGGGCCGCTGCGCCGCCTTCCTTCAAAAGCCGCACACCGCACAAGAACAACAGCAACACGACGCTTCACGCGCTCACAAGGCATGGCATGGCATCCATCCAGCCGTCCATGGCATGGATGAACGAAACAAAGGGCACACCACAACCAGCGCCATCCATCGTCCATCCATCAACCAACCAGCCATCCATCCAACCATTCAACGAAGATTCACAGAACAATCACTGGGCAAGAAAACCCCCAATCAATTCAATAGCCAACCAGCCAGCCAAACAGGCAAGCAACATGGAACACGGCACGAACCATGCAGGGAACCGCACACCACACCACAACACGGCACACCACGGCACGTCAAGCACCCATCAGTGAGTAGTAAGTCGAGCTAGTCATGCATTGTATGTCTGTATTGTGGTATGCAGCAGCACCCCGCCACCATTCCTTGCATTTCTCCCTCCTGTTTGTTTTCACCGTCGCGCCCTTTTCTTTATCCTGCGATCCCCGCGCCACCCTCATGGTTGCCTGCTCGTCTGTGTCCGCCTGTCTGTCTGTCTGTCTGTGTGGGGATGGCCATCAGTGTGTGTGAGCGTGCTTTCCGTGCTGTGGGTGGGTAGGTGGCACGGAAGGCATGCATGCATCGCCCCCGGTATCCCAGTGTCCATTGCTAGTCCTAGGTTTTACGCGTGTCATCTATACCATAGGAGAGCTAGGGAGGGGAGGGGGCGAGCCACACATGGACGACACAGACACAGGCACAGAAGACGCACACAGGTGGCTGCTGCGGGGAGGCAGCTGCAGGAAGGGAGGGCGCAAATAACGGCCACATCCCATTTCTGCCTTCATCACCTCAGCACCAGTACCATTACAACGGACCGCAGCCTCAGCACACGCCTCGATCGCAGACACGCGCTCACGCACGCTCACGCCCGCGAACTCTCCTCCCTCGGGGTCGGAAGGGGCCACCGCCACTGATGATGCCGCACTCGCATTGGAACTCCCAGTATCCTGCGGCGACACATCGTCACCGTCCCAGTGCCTGGGCGTCCATGCGTACTCCGACCCGTCAGATGGCCGGATGGAGGGTGTGCGGCTCTCCATCCCACCTGCAACCGACGACGCCCCCGAGCGGTCGTACAGTCCCCACCCCGTGTCCTCCGTCGTCACGGAGCGCGGCGTCAAGCGGTCCTTCCAGTTGACGCTGCACGAGTCGTCCGCTGCACTCATGGCGGCCGTGTCGGTCAGGTGGTCGAGCGACGAGAGGGAGTGTGGGGCGGGGGGCGGCAGCACCTGCAGCCGCGGAAGCCCCGGCGGCATCTCCCGATTAGCATTGGCTTTGTGTGCGGCCGTGGGTGGCGACAGGGGAGGGGAGGGGAATGGCGTCGCCGGAAAGTCGGGGGAGGACTTCTCCGACTCGCTCTCGCCGTCCTCGGATGTCTGCGGGGTGGACGGCAGGATGGTGCAGCGGCAGGTGCGCGCCATGGGCGGGGTGAAGTGGCTCGTAACGGGCGACGCGGGCGACGGCGGAATGGCCAGGTTGACCCTGCCGGGGTACTCGGCCGTCAGGGATGGCGACACTGCCGGCTTGACGTCCTCCTTTTCGTCTCCACCCCAGCCCTTGCTGGTGCTGTCAATGGTGTCACATGGAGATGGTGCAGCGGTGACGATGACCCTGGGGACGGGCGACGGGGGGCGGGAGGGGTCGGAGATCATCAGCGACTCGTATGACGAGTGCGCGGTGTCAGTGGGGGACGCGATCGACGTCTGCGGCGAGTTGTCGTTGTCAACGTCGATGGCGGGCAGCGAGGCAGCGAGGGTGTCGCGGAGCTGCTGCTCGTCCTCACTGGTGACGGTGTCGCGGGTCGAGACATCGATCTCCCAGGGCTCGTCAATGACCTCGGCGTCCAAATCGATCTCGATCTCGGGGCGGGGCTTGCCTGCCTTCGCTGCAGGAGGAGTCTCGACTGTCTTGATGGCCGCCAGCTCGCTCTCCTCATTCCCCTCACTAGTCTCTGTCGTCTCCGTTTCGTCATGCGCCGTGGGAGAGGTGGCATCCGCCACAACCGTCGCCTCGCCCTCGCTGCCGCCGGTAGCGCTGCTGTCCTCACTGTCGCTTCGGTCGAGCTTCTTGATCATCGGGCTCACACACCACCCGACGTGTGTGGCAGTCCGCGGCCCTCCGCCGCTCCGGCAGCTCGCCGTGCTGTCCACCCCACTCCCGCCCACCGTGCTGGGCACCTCCTCGGCCATCGGGTAGCCCTCGAAGCTGCCCGGCCGCCCCAGGCCCAGAGTGGCGCTCCGCTGCACCATGCCGTGAAGCCCCCCGAGCTGCACCGACTCGAGTGAGCTGCGGCGGTCCAGCTGTGGCTTGCTGCCGGGCTGTCTGCCGCCGCATGCAGTCGGCTTGCTGTGGAGGTGCCCTATATTGCCCACCATGCCCATCGCGTCGCCGGTGGTGCCGTGGAGGTGATGGACTGTGGGGAATGTCGACTGTCGGCTCATGGGCGCCCTGAGGTTGCCTGTTGCCCCTGCTTGGGCGTGCCCTTGCAGCCGCAGCTGAGCTCCCATCGACGTGGCTACCGCGTCCATCTGGGACTGGAGCGACGCGCGAGTCTGAGGGGCGTTGGCCGTGGCCACGGCATTGGCCGAGGTGGAGGATGCTGCTGACGGGGTGGGGAGGGGCGTGCTGGTGGGGGCGGCGGGGAAGAGGTCTGATGAGCGGGGCGTGGTGGTGGTGGAGAAGGGCGGGAGGGCATGAGCTGGGGCGGGGGTAGCCAGGTCGTCAGCCGCCTCCTCCACGTGGTCCACACAACGGGGGAGCCGCCCGGATGCGACAATCTGAGGAAGGGATGGATCGATACATATATACAAAATGAGATGCAGTGGTGTGTCTGGTCTGGACGTCTCTTTCTCATGCATGCCTTACTGACCTGATCGATGGACCGCTCATACGTTTCGATGAATTGCAGGGTCCGGTCGGTGACCGTGGCATCCCTCACGCCCACAGACATGGTGGGGCTGGACGGCGTGACGCCATCGCCCATCCCCACGCCCATCTCCAGGTCGCCGCCCCCCGTCCCAGTGGGTGTGCACGTGCTGCTGCTGCTGCTGCTGCTGACGGTGAGGGGGTCGGGCATGCCGGGGATGGCCGTGGCGAGCGAGGAAGGGGCGATCTTGGGGAGCGGTGGGAGCCAGAGGGGCTCGTTGTTGGCCTGCAGGCTGGGCGTCTCTGGCGTGAGGTGGCGGGGTGAGCATCGCTCGTCTTCTTGGAGGACGGTCTCGCGATCCCACTGATCCCAAATCTCCTGGTGACGCTGAATGAACACCACAACAACGCCATCAGCGAGAGAGAGAGAGATAGAGAGAGAGAGAGGCCTTGTGTGTGTGTGCGTGTGCGTGTGTGATGTGGTTGACCACCCCACCTGCAGTGATGCAGCCAGGTTGGCCTTCTCAGCCGCTAACACGTCATTCGGGCTGTACGGATGCTCCATAAAGCGTTTCCTGACAGGCACAGCACAGAGAGGTGCACCGAGTGCATGCCAGTCCAGTCGTCCGTCACTCTGTCCGATCGCTCCGTGTGTATGTGTGACATACATGAGGTTATAGGCGATGGGCAGGATGAGTAGCTGCACGAGGCATAGCACCATCGCCGACACCGAACCGAGAGACAACACCGAATACCTTTCACACAACACGAGACACCACACACGAGACGTTGCATTGCATGCACTGCGGCCGTCCGTCCGTCTGCAGTGCACATGCATGGCATGGCTGCGAGGCGTACGTACCATTCGTTGGTGTGTGCGGGCAGTGTGGGGACCATAGGTGGGTGTCCGGTGGGTGCGCTGTTGCCTCCGTGGGGTGAGGTGTCGATGTCCATGTTGATGACGCGACGCCGACGGGTGTCGGGCATCTCGATCTCCAGCACCCACAGACCCACCAGTGTCGCGTTCAACAACCCTCTGCAGAGCACACGGGCACACACAACGCGTTGTGCAGTGCAGTGAGTGCATCGTTTGTGTGGATGTGCTCATGTGTCGGCTGGCTGGGTGGATGCTCACAGTGAGATGAAGAACTTCATGCCTTTGCCCCATCGGTACTTGATGGCGAGTAGGCCAACGAACAGGAGGGCGGTCCCCACGAGCAACTGACACACACGCACGCACACACACACAAAACACAACATCCATTCACATGCACACGCACTCAATGAGGCGAGTGATGCATGTGTGTGTGAGTGAGTGATCGATCGTCAAGAACAAGTCACTCACCTCTGTGGCAGTCGCGATGAAGTAGCACTCTGGAAGGCACACATCACATCAGGGCGCGGCGCACACACGGATGCGTTTCTGTGAGCGGGGTGGCTTGGCTTGCAGGACATGTGTGACTGACCAAGGTAGTAGTGAGTGGCGAACATGATAACCAAAGAGAAGCACAGGAGAGCCCACCCGACCACAAACCATTTGGCCGTGTACAGCTCGTTACGTGCCCCTCGCTGCACCACAGACAGACAGACAGACAAGACATGCAGTATCGTCTGAACCCCCCCCCGACTCATCTGTGCTTACGGCCAGTCTGCTGAATGCTGCGGGCATTAGACGACACTGACGAAGCACACACCTCAGATCAGCGCCAGCAGCCTCATTATCATATCAAGAAGCTGGGTCGCGGCCGCAGACAACGGTCAGTGAGTGAGTGGTGGGTCAGCCAGACAAGTGAAGCAATGATGGATACGGCAGGTGGGTCGACGGTGGAAGTAGTGGCAGAGGTGGGTGTGGCTGGCGGAGAAGGGGTGAGTGCCTGGGTGTCGGTTGGCACAGCCAAAAAGAGCCAAGGAAGGAAGGAGGGATGGGAAGGAGTCCTGCTTGAGTGGTCGTCAGTGTTTGAGTCGCAGGTGGGCCCTGGAACAGCTGCCCCTATCACAAAGATCCGATTCCAAAGATCCAACGGACACGAAAAGCTCGCAATCCTGGCCGGGAGGCCAGCTTTTCCGTGTTTCCCGTTTTCACCTCATCGGAGAGGGCGAGCGTTGCTGAACATGGCTGAAGTCGCATGCACTGACAGGAGAGCGCATGTGCGGGAAATGCGCGGCGAGAGCCTCTCTCTGCAATGGTGTTTTGTGTGAATGTGAGGGGTGTGTGACGGACCTTTGATTCACATCCCCATCGATCTGTGCACGCGGCAGTCGCCAACATTCATCATACATACCATCATTCACACACACATATGTCGCGATCATTGCCTTTCGTTGACAATGCACTTGTATCATCTGACCGGCAGTCAAGGTGTACTTCGCCGGGTCATGTGTGTGTTGCACATTCTGCCCTGTCTGAGGGAGACTCGATGCTGCTTTGTCTGATTCATTCATCGCGACAGACATTAAGACAGACCGAGGCGCGATGTGAATGGCATGGCACGCACACACACACACACACACGTGTCATGCGAACGAAGCGAACCAGCGTACTAACACAAAAAGACGCACGCCTCACTCAACCAACTCACAGACAGACACCGCCGGCCAACACCAAATCCATGGCTACTGTCGCCTACCTGTCACCATCTGATACATATGTGGACATATAAGGGACCGACCATGCATAGTTAGTGGCATCTGTACACGCACCCACCCACCCAGCCACACACAGACTCTACCGCCACCCACGGGCCGACAGGCTCTTATCTTATCTGTCGCATGGCATGGCATGGACGGCTGCTGCGATTGATTTGACATCTATCTATCTATCTCTCACGGGCCGATTTTCGCCCGCATGTGCCCCTGGCCGCCCCGCTTGGACTGGAACAGCACCATGAAGCACCGCAGCAATGCCCTCAGAACCTGACGGACGCCATGCCATGACGACCATGCAATGCACACAGAGAACATCTATCTGTTGGTCGGTGGCCCGTACCTTTGCGGTGGCTCTGTGGAGTTTTTCTTTGATCATGTAGAGGAGTGCGGATGCGAGCACGGTCTTGACGAGCTGCAGGAGGAGCCCCTTGTACATGCCGATGACGCCCTCCTGCATGATGACCGACACCAACACGTTCACCACACCGTCGCCCTCCTGAGATAACATACATAATCACATAGAAAATAGACGGACTGCACAGCATGCAGATGGTGTCGTGTCTCGTGAGTTTGTGTGTCCGTTGGTTCCGTACCTCTGCCACAATTCCCGAAGAGGGGTTGCGGTTCACTGCACAACACACACACGTATAAGTACACACAGACATTCATGTGGTCGGTTGGTGGGTGGCGGGGTGACGCTGTCATTACGAGCGAGGGGTGCATTGCTCACTGTGTTGCAGCCTCAGAGGCCCAGGCGCCTGCAGATACTCTTCCCTGTCACCAATCTGAGAACACACACACACACACACACATGTATATACTCGGATGGGCATCTCCCTCCTGTCCTGGTGCGATGTCTGCTCACGTCTCGTTCTCCTTCAGACAGGCAGAAGGACGCCACGGAATAGGTGTCCTGACCCGAACAAGACGCACACACACACGGTGTATGAAGACGCAACCCACTCACAGGTCGGCTGGCGCACCCACCACGTCTCGAAGGAACTCAGATGGGGTCGGGGGGTTGACAAAGCGCTGGAAAGCTGATCGATCAACCGGGGGGAGAGAGAGCAAACCGCCACATTGGGGCTGGTCTCATGGCGTCAGTGTGTGTGTGTGTGTCTGTGTGTGTGTGCGTTGCTCACGGAGTCCTGCGTCTGAGTCGCTGTGTGGGACATTGAAGGCCGGGGCCTGGTGGTGCCGCGGTGGCACACCCAGCCTGTTCGCCTGCAGACATTGCAATGCATCATGCACTCCATTCACTAGTTACTGAGCTGCTGTCTGTCTGGTCTCTTGTCCTTTCCCACCGACCGAGCTGTCAGCCGATTCCGACTCCACGCCATCCCTGCCGCTCTCTGGACGCCTGTCATGGTTTTGCGGCGAGACCTCCTGGCTGCCATTGCTGCTGGAGACCAGGTTGGGGTCCGACCCCTTGGTGCTCTGAGGGTCGCGACACGCACGCTGCCCAGACCGATGCTGCATCAACACCTGAGGGAGGGAGCGTCATTATAGAGGGGGGAAGGGATAAGCAAGTAGCTGCACTTGTCTGTCATTCAGTCAGCGCACCTTTGCTCTGATGTAGGGGTATGTGACGATGGTCGCCAGAGCCTTCGCAAGAGCACCGAATATGAACGACTGGAAAGCCGTCAGCTCGGGCAGCTCCTGAACACATCAAATGAGACTGATGCAGCGAGCGCCACACCCACAGCCCTCCGCCACGCAGGCCCAGGTCGCCTCACCTCGTCGAGTTGTGAGGGCGTCATCGCGGCGCTCGTCGCTGGTGCGGGCAGGGATCCCGGTGCGCTTGGTACCGTGGTATTGGTGAGGAGGGAGTGGACGATGGCCGGGATGGCAGTGAGGCCCAGTGTGCGTGCCGCCCTCTTGGCCTCCTCCTCGCCACCGGGGAACACGTCCTTGTACTGCCGAAACCTCTGGAATCGCACCAACATCACCACCTGCACCGCAAACCTGCACATGTGGGAGGGAGAGTCGATGGATGCGGTGTACACAGACACAGCAATGAGTGTGTGTCTGTTTCGGTGGATGAATGGATGGCTGGATGGCTGGATGGATGGATGGAGTGTGTGTGTCTTAAGTACTTGAGTCTGTCGAATGCTGCGTTTGTGATGGCCGGGTTGGAGCAGAGCACGATGGACGCCAGGAAGCCGCGGTAGAAACCACGCAAACCTGATGGATGAACAAACAGAGAGAAACACACACGCACACACAAAGTGCGTGACCAATACAAGACCGGTGGTCTTTGTGTGTGTGTGTGTGTGTCCGATTGATTGCGTGTGAGTGTCTGTCTTTACGCTGTGCCCACCCTGTTTCTTGTATATGTTGGCGATGAGCGGTATGAGAGTGTAGTCGGACGTCTGCAAGTTGGTCGTCACCACCTCCAGCGGAGCTGCATATATCAGCACAAGCGCAGCACGATAGATACTGTGAGTGAGTGGCCGGCATGCCCGACTTTTCTTTCTTACCCGTCATGCATTGGTTCAGCACAGCCGCTAGGGACGCCATTACTGCACGGCACGCACAGCACACGCGTCGGTCGGACATACGTCATCGGTGCTGCCAGATTGACGCGGCGTGAGTTGAGTGCAGTGCCAAATCGCTTGCTCACTGAGGTTGGCTGATGTGTTGAGACGACCGATCTTACGCTCATATGTGCCCTTCAGGAACTGATACCTACACCGCCACCGCCACCACACAGACAGACAGACCCCCCTTCTCTGTGTGTGAGTCTGTCCTCTCCGTATCCATGTGTGTGTTTGTGTGTGTGCGTATCTATCTACCAGTAGAAGTACACGAAGTTGCGGACGAGTGCCTCGAGCATCTTGATGTCGACTCCCCTGTAGAGCGAGGGCGCCCCCCTTTGCAGAGCGTCCCTCACGACATCGAATATCTCCCCGCTGCGGCCTCCCACTTCCTTGAGCCGCGTCTGGTACCGCACCAGGATCACGTCCACGGGGTACAACGCCACGCACGAACACACCGCAGCCACGCCGCCAGACGTCGCGCTGATCAACGCGTCCATCTCGCTGACCAACGACTGGTCCAAGCTGGATATACTCTTCCGTGGTGTGCTCAAGGGCTGCGCTTTCTTTGTCACACCTCTTAGCTCGCCAAGCCTGCGAGCTTAGCGGAAAGGGAGGGAAGGGAAGTTTTCCTTGCGCTGCGCGATGTGGCGGAATGCGAAGGTCTCTTACATTCAGTACACGACAGAGATGGCCAACATACTCAGACAGTAAGCCGAGAGATGACGGCGGTAGATCTCAGGAGTGTCACACGCATGATCTCGTTGTCTGTCGCTGTCCTTGTGTGTTGCAATGCCTTCAGGTGTTTGAAGGAGCCTTACCGCAGCAAGGCGCTGAGCAGGGGGCAGGTCCACTTGAAAGAGGCCATCTGGCAGGGAGGCGTCGCACAGTCCAAAAGTAAGGGAGGGAGGGAAGATAGATCTGCTGCTGATCAATACACGCAGAGCATCTCTGTCCCTCTGTTCCTCTGCTGTGTGTGTGTTGTGCAGCCACCATCAATGACATGAAGTCTGCCTTTGGTGTTCAAGTCGAAGCGCTGGTCAAGAAATAGACATTCTTGGCAACTGCTGAGACTAGAGTGTTGGGGCGATAAACAGGGAGGGCCTGCCACGATGTGAGGCAGAGCTCGTAGCGTCAGACTGATATGGATTGACTGTGAAGGCAGAATGACCACTCACGTGACGATCGGATGACGCTTCTAGGTGTGTCTGTGTCGTGAATCGCTTGTTCACGAGACGCTGACCCCATCCCACCTTCATCATGCCGCGCCGTATCCCACCCCTCTCCTCCCGCCCCTCGATGATCGAGAAATCATACACACACTGACATGCAATGCATATCAAACAGCATCCAGCCATCACAAAGGGGCAGACATGCACGGCAAAAACCCCTCTATAGCTACATAAGACATAGACACACACCCTACTTACTCACGTCATCATGTATGTCACACGTCCAAAACGCCTAGCTATGTGATGCATGCGATGGAATGCAGCCACTGCCTGTCTGTCGTCGGTCTGTCTGTCTGATGACCTAGCTACCTGTCGAGGTATGCCTTGACGACCTGAACCATTCGGTCAGGTTGGTCGGCATGCACCCAATGCCCCGCCTCTTTCACTGTCTGCAGGGTGAAGGAGGCGAACAGCCGCTGGATGACGTCCAGGTGCCGCGACTGGATGTAGCGGCTGTTGCTGCCCATCACGAACAGCGTGTCGCCTTCGTAAGGAGGGGGCAGCTCGGACTCGCTGCCCCACGCGGCCTCCAGATCAAACAGCGCCAGGTCCTCGAGCGACCTGACACACACATCCCCAAAACCAGGCATTCAAACCGTGCTGGCTCGTCTGCCTTTCCTTCTGTGTTATTGGTCTCTCTGGCCCACCGTGCGATTGCGTCCAGGTTGATTCGCCACCTCCATGAGTCCTCGTGCCTCTCAAGATTGGTCAGAACGAAGGCTCTCAGCGCATCGTCATCGATGCCGTGCTCATCCCTCAAACCCCTGTCGGCATCCTGACGGGTGGACAGAGCATGAAGAGGCAGTGCCTGGAGCCCATTGATGATCCTGCGGGGAGGGAGGGAGCATAGAGAGCGGGTAAATGAAGAGTGGTGGAGTGAGTGAGGCAGGGCGGACCTTCATCGCGTCCATCACACACGTACCTCCTGATTTCTTTCCAGTCGTTACCGTCCTCTGTCGAGTACGGCACCGGGGCCACATCCACAATCACCAGCCCATCGACGCGAGACGGTTCAAGCAGGCCGAGAGCTGCTGCGACTTTGCCACCCATGCCTGCAGGCAAGCGACAGCCTCACAGGACAGACGTGTGTGGTTTGGGTTGTTAGCTGTGCTGGGTGGGTGCTGACTGTGTCCGACGCAGACGATTCGGTCCTCGTTGACGGACTCGAGCAGCCGCAGCACGTCCTGAGCCATCTCGCTGCACACAGAATTGCAGGCGAAAGCCCGTGCACTTACGTTTGATTCTCCATGCACTTACGCGTATGTCATGGATTCAGCGTGCGTGCTGGAGCCATGGTTGCGGAGGTCAGGGACGATGATGCGCCTCGATGTGTCAAGCTCACTCGACAACCTAACCCGCACGACAATACACACCGTGAGCCAACACACCGTCGACTTGATTGCATCTCCTCTCACCTCTTCGCCCATGTCATCCAATTGCGAGACGAACCTATAGGGGAGCGCCAAGCAGCATAGAGACAGGTCTCAGGCGTTTCTCCTCGTTCGTGCCGTGTGTGCGTGTGTGCGTCTGTGTGTTCCGTGTCCTCACCGAGAAGGCCATGAAGGAGCAAAACCGCCTCCCGGCTATCATGCCCTGTGTATGTAGCAATGTGCAAACCAGCAAATAAAGCAGCTTGTATCTCGCGCGGTGTGACGCAGCCCGTGCTAATGCCGCATAATACCTACCATTCGCAGGGATGTCGATGTAGTGCAGATCCACCGCCTCCCTCTCTTTTGTCAGCACGCCTGGCTGACGGGCTGCACGCAGGCGGCTCTGACGCTGCAGCTCGATGCGCTGGTGCCTTAGGGGAAGATGCTGGGGCTGGGGCTGGAAGGCGGACGCTTGGCTCATCACGGCCGTGAGGAAAAGAGCGAAGATCAGCTGGCGCATTCTCCTTCGCCGCTTCGCCGCAAAGCTCGCAGAGAAAGGGCATCGTGAAACCGTTGTTTCGTCAGCTCGCAGCGCGGGGCAGGCGCCCAGATGGAAAGTCTGAACCCTCTCTGTGTGGCTGTTGTGCTGTTTGCAGATCTCTCCCTTCGCCAGGACGGCCAGATGACCCAGATCTTTGATGGGCCTGCGCTCGTTGTCCCGTGGCTGGCCTCCCTGGTGGCCGCAGGACGACCACAGAGGCAACATGGCCACAGACAAGGTATCAGGCTTTGTGTTTCACTCTCCTTTGAGTACTTTTCGAGAGGGATACCTTTGGAGGGGGCCTGTGCCATTCGGAGGGGCCTTGTGCCATTCGGAGGGGCCCTGTACCTTACCGAGGTACTCCCTTCCCTCCGCTTCAGTCTGTTCCCTGGCTGCTTTCGGTGTTTTCAGCGCATCGCGATGAACAGTCAGCCACACAGATCACTCCATGCACCCACTCGGAAACTGCTGTGACATCACCTCTGTGTGTGTGTGTGTGATTGCAGCTGATTTGCCTGCTGCGTCCCTCCTGCGTGTCCTTCACGACCACTGGGATGCCATCGAGCTCGACCGCCGTCGCTCTCACTCCCTGGCCGACCCGATAGACATGACCGCTCCGGCAGAGCACCGTCACGTGTGGCTCACTGGTGGCAGCACTGAGCGCATCATGGGTCAGGAGGGGTGGGACATCGCCCTCCTGCCGGCCGCCATTGACGAGGACGGCCGCTGGCGGCCGCTCCGCTACCTGTATCGGCTGCAGGTGTTCCGCAAGCCGGGGATGGAGTTGGGCGAGCAGGCAACTGACTACAACAGCGAGTGCTGCGTGCGTGTGTATCACGGAGGACAGCTGGTGGGCGTGGTGGGTTATGTGCCCGTCAAGAAGGGCCCGGGCGACAAACTCTGCGCCACGTGTGTGGCGCCGTGTGCCGGCGGGCGTATCTGCGGCTTGAACAACACCCGCCGCAATGTG